TTCCATGTGAGTAAGTGCTCCCACAAGTGTGCAGTACCCTATAGCGATATTTATCATGTAGGGAACCAACCCAATCCGTATCTGTAAATATTTCTATATTAAGGTGACCATACTTAGAAAAGAGTAGACATTTTCCTGATGCAGACTTCAGGTATCGTAATATGCGGAAAACAGTATGTAATTGAGTCTGACGAGAATCATGCATGTATTAGCTCACAAGACTAGTCGTATATGACATATCAGGTCTGGTATATGAGAGATAAATGAGTATTCCAAATAGTCTCTGGTATATTCCCAAGTCAACTGATGTACCACTATTAGGATGCAATTGGATGTCGCTCTCAATAGGGGATTCGGCCGGTTTACAACCCATCATACTAGTATTTTTTAGTAAGCTTAGAATATATTTCATATGAGAAATAAAGATCCCTATATAGGATCTGGTAACTTTAATTACCAAGAAGTATTGCAATGTTCCTAAATCTTTTATTTCAAACTCTTGAGCAAGAAGTTCCTTCAACCGAGCCATCTCCTTGGTATCATCTTTAGTCACCACAATATTGTCTACATAAACAATGAGGAGAGTGACTTTACCCTCACGACATTTAATAAACAAGGTATGATCCGCATTACTTATTGATATCCAAAAGAAATCATAACTGTTTTAAACCGTTCAAACCATGCTCTTGGCAACTGTTTCAATCCATATAAAGCCTTTTTTAATTGACAAACTTTTCCTTACATTCTCTCATATTCAAATCCAAGTGAAATTTACATGTACACCTCTTCCTCTAAGTCTCCATGGAGGAATGAATTTTTTACATCAAACTGCTGTAAATCCTAATCAAGGTTAGCTGCGCAAGACAAGAGTATCCTAATTGTGTTCATCTTCGCAACAGGCGCAAATATCTCCTGATAGTCAATCCCATAGGTCTGAGTAAATCCTTTAGCCACCAATCTACCTTTGTACCTTTCGATCGATCCGTCAGCTTTGTATTTTACAGTAAACAACCATTTGCAACCAACTATTTTCTTTCTCTGTGAAGGTGAAACAAGTTCCCACGTCTCATTCTTTGTCAATACTCTTATTTCTTCAATCATGATTTTCTTACACTTGGGATCTCCTAGAGCTTCTCTTCAATCCTGTGGAATAGACACAGAGGAAACAGACAAGACAAAGACTCTATAGGAGGGAGATAGAGAGTCTAGGAAACAAAGTTAGATATAGGATACTTAGTGCAAGTTCTCGTTCCCTTTCTAATAGCATCTGATAAATCACAAGAAAAAGATAACTCACCAGTATTTTCTGAAACCAAAGAAGATTTTTGATCTGGGACAGACTGCAGAATGACTTTTTCAGACTTCTCTCTCCTTGAATACCTTTTCAAGTCTGATTTATCTAGATGTCCAACATTATTTTCTTGATTAAGAATTTATGTAATAGAATTGTCTCCCTGAATATGATTCTCAATCGTTACCCAATTAGGTATCACTTCTTCTTTCTCACTCTCCCCCTGAAGAGGTGTCGGGTTTGAGTTGAAGTAAGACTCATTCTCCCTAAAGGTAACATCCATAGTTACAAAATATTTTCTAGATTGTGGATGATAACACTTATAGCTTTTTTGGGTATAAGAATATTCAACAAATACACACTTAAGAGCTCTAGGTTCTAATTTAACCATATTTCTAGCATAAAGACCGCACACATATCCAAACACTTTTGGGGGAACAATGTAGGAATTTTTTCTTTACAAAAATTCCATAGGACTTTTAAAATTCAGGATCCGTAAAAACATTTTATTGATAAGATAGACAGCTGAGAGAACTGCATCTCCCCAATAATTCTTTGGTAGATTCATGGTGAACATTAGTGACCGAACTACCTCTAGTACGTGTGTTTTTTCTTTCAGCAACCCCATTTTGTTCACTGGTATAGGCACAACTTGTTTGATGAATTATCTCATTTGACTCCAAGTAGACACGGAACCCACTATCTATATATTTTGTACCATTGTTAGTTCACAGAATCTTAACTTTAGCACCAAATTGTATACATATTATTTTGTGGAAAGATTGAAAACATGAAAATATATCACTTTTTACTTTTTAACAGATAAATCTATGTTAATCTAATACAACATTCAATAAAAATTGCAAACCATCTATGATCAGAAAGAGAGATATTCTGAGTAAGTCCCCACACATAAGAGTGAATAGTCTTAAAATGATCAATAATTCTATTATTACTTAAATGATAAGAGCTCCTCTTATGTTTAGCAAGTTTGCATGCATCACAAAATAAAAATTTCATAAAAGTTTTTTTAAATAACTTAAGATATAATTTTTCTAAAACAAAAAAGGAAGGATGTCCCAATCGTCAGTGCCATTGTAGTATCTCCATATTGACTTTTTTATTCCCAATGGTTGCTTGATTTCCAATTAAATTCAGATGTCTATCCAAGACATATAAGCCAACTTGCAGTCTACCAGTGCCAATCCTCTTTCCGGTTTGAAGATTTTGAAAGATGCAATGATCAGGAAAAAATTCAATTTTACAGTTAAGATATCTAGTTACGGCACTAATAGATAAAAGATTATCAAAAAAACTAGACACGTTTAAAACTGAAGACAGTGTAATAATAGAAATACAATAAATGGAACCTGTTCCCGACACGAGGGTGTATGACCCATCTACTATACGGACATTCTCCCCTTCAGTACAAGAAGAATAGGTTAAGAATTCTTTAGAAAAGTCTGTCATGTGTCTGTTAACTCCAGAGTCTATGATCCAATTATTAGGAGTTGAAATAAAATGAATAATACATGATTTTACCATATTTGATGTGCCAACAGTTGATGGAGAGTTAAGTTGACTCAGAAGGCCAGATTTTGAATTTCTTTTGTGAAAAATACTCAAATGGATGGTGAACCAGGTGTTTCCCTAGCTTCAACAAAATTTGCTTAAGCTTTTGTGGTTCCACCTCTTCTTTCTCTCTGACATCTAATTGGTATTTCATGCAACTTTCAACAAGTTTCCCTAGTGTGTATTGGCTTACCACAATAGCCACGTTTTCATATATTTCTACATTGATAAGACTGAACAACTAATCCAGCTTTCTCAACTGGTGCAATGTGAAGCATGACATTTCTTCTACTCTCTTCTTGTTGAACATAAGCATAAGTTTGTTCTAATGAAGGAAAAATATCCTTATCAAGCACTTGGACCCGTATTTGATCATATTCGGTGTTCAAACCAGCTAAAAAATTATAAATTCACTCTTTTTCTATCAATTTCTGAAATTTGACTACATCTGCAGGGCATTCTGCTTGAAAATATTGATAGTAATCTAACTTTTGTCATAATCCATTTAATTCAGAAAAATAATGAGAAATAATCATCTCTCATTCCTTTGTGCCATGAACTTTATTCCGAAGTTTATAAATTTAGGCGTCATTACCCATCTGTTAATATGTATGAGATGCTGCATTTCATATTTTCTCGACAATGTTAAACAACAGATATGTTCTGGCAATATACGGTTGCATGAAATTTATGAGCGATGACATTACCAATGAGCTCTCAGAGTCCCATCTATTATACTCTAAACTAGTAACATCTGGTTTCTTCACCTTACCAATAAGGTAACCCTGCAATCCTATATATTTGATGAACAATAAACAAAATCTTGACCAAGCAAGATAATTAGTTCCATCAAGTTTTACGAGACTGATTTGTAATGAAAGATTATCAAAACTAGTAACACTCACTTTTTTTGCTTATGTCATTTTAGAATGCTAAAAATAAGAATAAAAATATTCAGTAATGAAAAATAGACCTCCTATCTGCACCAAGGAGCCAAAAAAAAAAACGGAGCTAGATCTGGTTCGGCTTTAAACGGCTCGGATTTAATTCTAAAACGGCTCAAACTCGGCTCTACAATGGCTCAGACTCGGCTCTAAAACGGCTTAAAGTCAGCTTGGTTCATCTTCTCCAGACAGATCTCTGAACATGCACAGAAAAAGGTAATGGTGTGGCCTTTTTTACCTGCATCTATTGATGTGCGGCTGTAATTTTTTGCTAGCGTTTCTGGACATGCATCTTAAATTTTACCACCGTATCTGGATGTGTAGCTGCACCTTTTTACTAGCACTTGAGGATGTGCAACTGCAACATTTTACCAGCACTTATGGTTGTCCGCTTGTATATTATTACCGGCGCTTTCGGAGGTGCGGCTGCACTTTCTACCTACGTCTGCGAATGTACGGCTTCAATTTTTACCGATGCCTGCGAATGTGTAGCTTAAGTTTTTACTGGCGCCTGCGAATGTGCAACATCAGTTTTAACGGCGCTTGCGAATGTACGACTGCAGTTTTTTACCGGCGCTCTGATACCATGAAATTTTTAGAGAAAATAAACTTCTAATTTTTTTTTTCTTTATTTTGTTTACATTTAAAAAATATATATAAATTAATTATCTTTATTCTATTTAAACTTTAATTATATGATATAATTATACTATTAGAACTATAAATAATATAGTATTTTACTTAACATAAAATCCTTATCAACAGACCTTAATCTTTAGCATATTACCATTTTCTTTGGAGTCTAACCTTAGATCCAGTTGAGCAGGCTGAATGAAAACACATGACTTCTAAAGACATGACAACACATCATTAAGTAAAATTTGATAGATTACAGGGGCTTTACCAGCCAATATTGTTTGTTCTCAACCTTATGACTAAGCTATAAGCCCTACAAAAGGTTGATAACCGTCTCCACTGAGAAAAACAAATGACAAATAAACTGAATCCTTTTGGTTTATAGAATTAGAAAAGTGCTCCTCAATTTAATTACCTGTAAAAGCAGAACAATGTTGTCTCCTTCATATGTACAAGAAGGGACATAAACAGCAAATAATTCAGGAAGCCCGCTGCTGCACAAGTAACCATGTCCACCACATAATTTCCGGCATTCTTCAATGGCATCCTGCAAGGCTTTTCAGTCAACTAGAAGCATTTCAAATAAATGCAATCCCTTAAATTAGCTGCATATTCTTATCTCAAAAAAAAAAAAAAAATCAGCCACATACTGCATATTTGCATAATGCAATCTCTAACAAAACCAAAATATGACAAAATGTCATGTAAAACTTAGGGGATAAATAACGATCACATAGCCCTCAATCAAAATAGAATAGAGAACATGGATTTGGTGGAATATTCCACATTACTGAGAAGATGAAATAAGAACTGCTCAGCCAACTGTGGGAGTATCAAT